ATGGCCTATGAGTTTCCAGCAGTAATTCACAGGACATTGCAAGCTCTAGTCGGCGTCTTTGAAATTCTGGCAGTGCTGCTTCTCATCCCTGTTCTGATTCTCTATCGCCGAGAGTACCGACATTTGCGCGCCCAGTTTGAGGATGAATGTTCGGAAGAGAAGACGCTTTCTTGATGTTGTCATATTCACTTGTTTGTATTTATTGGTAACACATTTTTCTTCCCTTAGAAATTTATGTCTTTAGGTAAAGTAGAGGAGCACAGAAATCCCTAATTTACCGAATAACTAAGGTCGTTCAAGTTTAGTTACAAGTGTTTTAAAGGGGTTTCCTTGTGCATAACCACTTACTTTTAACTGAACCGAAAGCAAAATGACTTGAAACAAGCGCGTGTCATCAAGTGCTGCTGGACACTTTCCACATGTGCATGTGACGACGCAGCCAGATGGCAAAATGTGGATGTTGTACATATGCAACGGCTTGGAAATGGTCGCAATACACCACTCAGTCCTCTGCTAAGAAAAAAATGCCAAATACCTATTTATTTGACAATAGTAGGCGCATCTAAAATAGTGACAAGAAACGCAACACTTAATTTTTCGATAGGCTCGTCAAACCTGTCAGATTTCACCCTCTGGTATTTCCGCTTTTTGCTGATACAACTGTTTGGAATTCACATTTACAGGCTTAAGAATGATCAAATCCCAAATATTTTTCGGATTCATCCAAAATTTTTAATAACAGATTAGATAAAGAAAAAACATCTTAAATACCTGATACAAACTTATAGAAGACCTGGAATCACACATTTATGGCAGTCTTCTCGCTGGGCAGTGCTACTGACCCGGCAGGTGTGGCAAAAGTGCCAATGCTTCCCTCGTGATCTGCTTCCAGACCGACTTTAATAGGAGAGTAGATAGGATGTAGATTTAACTTCTCGCCATTCTCAATGCGCTCTCCGTAAACGGCAACGCGACAGCATGTGCATCTGTGGAAAATAAAGTGTTTTGGGAAAGGGGAAGTCATTTCATACGTTGCCCAGTTTCCTCTATTGCCTTGTTATTGGTATTTCTCTCGTGTTAAGTTTTTGAGCTTTATTGGGTTATGGTTCAGCAAATTGCTGTCGCTTTTCATTCTCACTGCAAAAGTACTCCCTGATTTTAAGATTTTTTGAGAGATTTACCACCTCCATCAAATTTATGCAACACGTATTCATCCTGATTGGGACCTAAAGCATCCAAATACAATGTGGGACGGAGAGGAAGACGCAAGATAAATGCGTGAAGCACGATCTTCGGTCATCGAATGCAGGTGGTATTGCAATGTTACACAGACACTGATACCAACTGCGAAGGAGGAGAGACGTGAAAGGAAAGCCGAAGCAATTGATGCAGCCTACATGCTGTCCATCGAAAATACAAAATTAGCAGTGGTAGATTCGCTCACCAACTAAACTGACAAACTATCTTATGTGTAGTGTGGTTAGTAAAGTGAATAAAAGGAACATTAATTATCCCCAAATTGTTAAATCATCACTTAGCATCCACCATATCCCAATCTACTTCAACACATCCAACCCATGTTCCTGCTCCCCACACCATCCCTCACCAACCCATCCCACACGTCCCATCTTTAAGCGCTTGTAGCTTTCCTGCACGAAATTGCATTTCAATGCCATCACTGCCATCCTATCCCCCTGATTCGACAATATAACTTGCAAGTGGACTTTGAGCGCTCTAATAACCATCAGGAAGTCGAGGCCAATCAGATTATCGTAATCACATGAGAATTGGACCACCTTGTGTTCCTAGCAGTCAACCAGCATGTGCCTATCCGTGTGCAGCAACGCCCCAGCTTATGCATACTAGATGACAATAAAGACTTCCATGTTGACGTTTTCAATTTGCTTTGATTAACCGCAAAGTAAAATGGACAGAATGGAATCCATGTTTACACACGTATATGTTGAGGTTAATTTGACAACGCGTAGCAGCTTGTCATGTTCTTCCCTAGGTTCTATGTCAATCAAATCAACCTAGTGACAAGTATTTAGACGTTATTTATCCTCAGCTTCACGGTAGTTCTCTGCCGTCACCAGTAGACTGATCGTCTTCACACTTCTTCCACTTTGAATGGCAGTCATACACTGAAACAAGTCAAAGGAGTATCTACTCATTATAAAATAGCGCTAATGAAATAAAAGGAATCTAGAAATTCTGCCTTTTGTCAGTGGCGAGAGAAGCACTGGTGCAATAAGGCTCTGCTGCCGTTTAACAGCTTAGTTTGGTGAGCTGAGGTAAGGAAGTAACTTGCTGGGTAGTGTGAGAGAACCAAAGTACCATCCCATTTGTATCCGCAGAGAGAGGATAATCTTTAGTGGTTGGTTCTATTTCTGAAGCTGTTGAACAGTGGAATGGGTCAGTGTAGCAATCTTTCAATCAGAAGAGGGCCATGGTGTGTGGGAGATAACCACACAGAACATGTGAGATGGCGTATTCTACTGAGACTGAAGCTATGGGAACCATGGAAGTGTGGTGTAAGGAAGAGTAGTGTAGTGTGGGATGCGATTGTGCTGGGCGCGTTGAGATGGGGAGAAATCACCTAGTAGGAAATAATAATTTTTGGAGTTTATTTTTTGCAAGGGACATTTGGGCGGCGTCTGGGGACTTCAGGGTTAGTACTACATCTTGACGGCACAGTCATTCAGTCCCTCTCAATGCAAATAATAGACCCTTCTCCAACCTGACAGCAGTAAACTTGCTCAAATGTAATTGCTACGGAAGGAGTGGGCGGAAAGTTAGCTGAAGGATTCAAACATTGACAGTTCCTTCAACTTCAAGCTCTCCGCAATAAGTGCGGAGCTAGTAAGATCAAGGCTAAGTAATCCGTAAAGAATAATTGTAACGTCTCCCCTGTCGAAATAATTTGCATAACATGCTGTCAAAGCTAGGTAAATGTCGTGATGAGAATCCTTTGACATAAAGAAAGTGCTCACCAGACTTGAGGCCTATCTAGGAACGAAGGCGTCTGGGCCTTCTAGTACCCACCCAGTCGCACAGCATGTACTACCACCAAAAGCTGGCTTCATCACCAATCAAAGTTGCTCCTAAAATGCAGCTGTTGCAATTCGAACAGATTAATACTGAATCAGAAGAGTGACCGTAGAGAGCGTCCTCGCATTACACTCTGATAAATGCAATGACTGTTGTGATGTTGTATTTTACTACACTATCTCCCCAATTTGCACCTACGCCTTGCGCCATGTCACTTTGTCCACACCTATAGCCTCCTGACCCTTCCTTCCGTTTGACCCATACTGGTATGGGTTACTACAACATGAGTGAAGACAAGGAGATGCTTTTCGATGGAGTATCAGAGAGGTTGACCTCGGTCGGTTGTTCATCCTTGGTCTGAGAATAGGGGAAATTCCCCAAACGAACAAAGAGTGGCAAAAAACATATTGTCATTAAAGTTGATGAGAAATGAAATTCGGATAATAAACTGGCCGAAAAGGGATGCGTCAATTTCAAAGAGCATTATAAGGATAAATTGGGTAGCTGACACCAATGTCAACAGAGATGTTGTGCATTAACAGGTGACGGACAAGCAGCTTTGGCCACTGTCAGCCAGACGGTCCTCATGAGTCATTGAGAATAGATTGTCTGCTCATTGACAGACCAACCGTTTAACCGGCCGACCGCCTCACCCACTCACCAACAAACTAACTAAATGACTGCCTCTCTGCCTATTTTGTAATGAGCAGTATAATTTGCATTTCGAAGCTATTTTTGTGGGGGAACATCACTAGTTATCTTCAAACAATCAACTCTCCACTTCACTCTCCTAAGGGATAACTCCCTCCTCGGTAGGCAGTAATGACGTTTTGGTTTTTAAAGACCTAATGTTGCCTAAAAAAGGACACTTAGCGGCTTCTCTCTTGATGCTTTTGATTATATAGGATATTATAATAGCGTTTATTTCGTAGAATAATCTTTTATAAAGGGAATTTCAACAGTGACTTAATTTTTTGCATGAAGCGAATTGCACGAAAACGAAGCCATTTGGCTGTGTTTGGCTGCCATACTTTTTGGGTAGTTTAATCAGATGTGCAGTGTTTGTATCTATTCGGTTCCCTTTGTTCGTGAATTTTGGTAATTCAAATGATTGCACAATTGAATTCTGTAATTTTCTTAGTCCACCTGATTCTAGAACAACGCCTCCCCTTCTGTGTTTAAACCTTATTTTATGCCAAACTCAAAGTGCCCTAGGACGTCACAGTTACTGGCAGTGATGAGTCTTATCAATCGTCAACGTCAGAGGTGGATGGTGTCTGCGTCATGAGACCAAAAGTCACCGAGACTAAGGCCCACTTTTGACAATAACTGCAACCTAGTAGTTTGTCCAAAATCCAGTGATCATCATCAGAATACCAAGGCCTTGATGCATAGATGAATAGGGTTGTCTACAATGGGTGGATGAAAAGCGTGAATTGCGTGTGTGTGTGTGTGTGTTTGGCTGAACAGGGCAGAAGTAGGCCGCTATAACCCAAGTAAGGACGTGCGAGACTTGGCCCTCTGCAAATATCGTATGAGGACCATCGAATGGCTGTGGTTTGTGGTGTGTGGTAGTAATGACAAAAAACAGGCATATCTTACGTATGCACCTGTGAAGGCAGACTGAGATCAAGAATTTCCATTTTTGTCTGTTGGTTAGGTTGTGCACGAAGTGTGCATATGTGGTGCAGTCCGGGTGGATGCAATGCTGGGTAGGCAGGCAACACGAATTCGATGCGCCCACTTTCCGACTCGGATTTCGGTTGTGTGACAAGTAGGCAGATGGGTTCAATCGTGACCTCCTTGTTGGCATTTCCATCTGCGCGAGTGGAGAGAAATACAAGAGTTGGAAAGGGTACATCTTGAGCAAATACCACCTTTCCCGGATGGTAAAGCTCTGTGCAAAGGTAAGGGACAACGAAAAAGAAGATTAACCAAATTTACTTTGAAATGATTTTGATGCCGTACTTCTCCACGCTGGTGCAGATCCCATGCGCGATAGCTCTCAGATTAAAGCCTTGGCAGCTATTGAGCCTATTAGTGGGTCAACAACACTTGGCTAACTGCAACGGAGTCACTCGAAAGTCAAATCCTTCTACAGCAACGGTGCACACAACACACAAGCCTGTGGAATTTTGGAAGGTTGGCGCCACTTGCATAGCTGCTGAGTCTATCCATTCTAAAGCATTTCACTCATCAACCTAATAGAGGAACGCTCAAAATGAAACATTGTTAAATAAAGGCAGTGAGCACTTCTTGAATAATCTTCTCATTTCTGGTCTTTAAATTAGCTCGAACCTTTGCCTTTCCTTCGCTCCTTAACGTTGGAAATTTTCTTAGGGTGGGTTTAATCGTGAAGACTTGAATTACTTCCATAAGTAAATTCCCCCTTTCACAAAGAAGTGTCCTTCTTTATGCAATATTTAAGTAGGTCAGGATTAACCACTTAGTTTTGTAAATAAAAATGCTTATGTAAGCACATGCAAAATCCTTTGTGGTGGGTCAGGTTGGGATTAGCTAGGCAAAGCGGTGCGGGTGGGGCTACATTTCACCATGTCCACAAAATCACCCAAATAAGGCAGTGTTTTCCTGTCGAAAGAAGTAATGGCCTAGAGAAAACCGATTCTATGTTTGCTCACCCAAAATAACGTCCGAATACAAATTCCACATCGGATTACACATTGTACGCACTTCCAGACAAACAGACAGACAGCCAGACAGTCCTCGGTCGGTGGGTGGGTGAGCAGACTCCCTTCTCAATGCCGCGTTTATGCAGTAACAGTGAGAAGCAACTGGTTAATAGTCCGCAAAGCTTCATATCTCTTACGTGTTACTGCAAGGTAGACGGGGGTGGGAGCGAATTGCTCGGCATACCCTCCACGACTTTTCTCCATCCTCTGTTTCTACACTACTCACATTATACATGTCTGAACACACCCTTCCACCAGCCTCAATAATAACAATTAATTTTCCTGACATTATAAAGAATGGGGTGTTTCTAAGCTTAGAATATCTCTCTCCGGGCTATTTGTCATCAAGATCACCTTTTTAAACGAGTTCTAGTTGAGGAATTCATCCTCTCATTGCATATCGCATTTTCCCCAGCTGCCAAAGATTAAGGCAAACAAGAAATTTCTCCGTTCGCAAAACAGCAGACGAGCACGAACCAACCAACCAGTTTCTGGTTTTGCCGGGTAGAACTAAGCTTTGAAAACATATCAGCCTTGCTAAAACTCTTCAAATAAAGCATTTATTAATAGATGTCGCATGTCAGTGGACCATTCGTAGTGAATCAAGTGAATCACCTTTCCTTTAAAGCATAATAACCTGTTTGGCTGTTTCCAGTTCAACCCTCTCTGGGGCTTCTTGAATTTCAATTTCGCATTTCACTTTTTATAAAAGCCACTACCATAGCTAAGGATGCCATATTTAGTCTAAAGGTCATGTCCTGATTATGATAAGCAGTAAAGGCAATTAATTGTTCTCATTCAAATACGCTTTCCCGTAAATGACTTTTCATTGGCAGCAAATGCTACCCAAAATTTGGTTGCTCGAAGCTAAGTTGCAATTTTAAAGTTGGTGCATTTGAATGGCAGAAATTCCCTGTCCTTTTTGATTGCATTCCAGTGATCTGAAGATTAGACGCATTCCCAATTTCAATGATTTCGTCTGAAACCTGCCATTTGAGGCAACGCTTGCATAAAAGCATTCTGTTCCCCACTTTTACTTAAGTAATTCGTAAATGTGTGCTAAAATGCCAAACTTGTTGATTTTCGGGTTCGATCACAGGGGATGTGTGAGTTTGTTCACCGTATTGGCTGTAAGAACAGGCTTAGGTTATCCTTTAAATTTGTCCACTTTATAAACAGCACTGAAGTGAGAGCAAAGTGGCAAGGACCTGCGTTATTCGACTTTGTCTTTGGACCAGCATTTCCACTACCAGATATGAAAATGAGTGATGGCCATCACACTCCCCACTCCGTCTTTGAACAGCACGTTATAGCTCTCGAAGCCTTGTTTTTAAAACAAATAACGCCTAAGCCAACTCCCATCCCACCACTTTGCTTTACTTTCCCAGCTAGTTATGCTGTGTATAGTCATGGGTGGCCATGGGCTGTCCAATCACAAGTGACCTTGAGATTGGCCAAACTTTGAAGACGAAGGTGTGACAATCACCACATGGAGGGGTAAAGTAGCACCAACTCACCATGCCATCTTGAAGTGGAAATCTTCTCGGAGATGCGTCTTGAGGCTACAATGGAGGAAAAGAAGGAAAGCGGTTATGCATTGTTGTGCAAAGCGGTCAGTAGGACTTTCCTCCAAATCGTTCACCTGTCCCTCTTCCCTCTCAAGTCTTATCTACTAGGCATGTAATGAGCATGTAGATCTCAACAGCAATTTCGGTTTGGCTTTCTGCAATTGAACGGTTGAAAAGTAAATAAATATCCAAACTCTACCCTCAAAAACCACTTCCTCCAAGTCCAAAACACATAGGAAGCAACGTTCCTTTCCTCATCCAAGTACACTAAGTGCAAAAAATAATCCACAACTCTGCAGCTCGCTGGAAAAGCGGAATCGAAAACTCATCTCAGTATTTCCACCACTTGAGCAGATTTACAAGTGAATGTTTTTCGACTCAC